ATAAAAAGACTATTTTAAAAACGTACTTGAATTTTACTCAGCAATCTTGACAACTTTGCACAGAAAATAGCAACTTTCTCTGAACTAGAACCGCCAAAAAAAGGCGAAAAAAAGAAAAACTGGCGAAATTAATTGAAAAATATAATGTAGAATATATAATCTACATATAGATGGATGATATTTAACAAGTTATGCAACTTCCTGTTTTCATTATTTGCATTTAAGTTCTACGAAATATATTTCGCAATATGTCCTTGATAGATCGTCGGATGTCTGTCATTCTCCAGCAATAAATAACTGGATTTAGAGATGAATTTATAAACATTAGTGTCTGAGAGAAATGAAACTGATGCTGATGATGATGCTGTCCACCAGGAAAGTGGAAGTAGACAGATTAGTGTCACTTTCCCACATTTAACCATTTACATAAAAGAGAGTCTAAGTTAAATTGCATGTTTTTCTTTTAATTTGTAACAGATAACTGCTTTGCTGTAAAGTTAAATATAGAGCAACGAATGAACAACTTAATTTTTTTCTCAGTGCTTGAGCGGGCGGTATTCTACAAATCCTTCAATCTGATTGGTTCTAAGAGCGGGCAGTATTCTCCCATCTGGCCCGCGCACAGCGGGCGGAACCCTATCCGTTGCGAGTTGAGTCGCGGGTACATCCCAACTTTTGTTGCAAGTTTTTATAAACATATTTTGTTTTGCCGGCTGAGCAGCAGCTTTGGGCTTACGACCTATAGCCGAAAAAGAAAACTGAATTGTTAATTTCCTCCTCTCTCTCTAAAAACACAACTGGATTCGAAATTGTTGTAGTAACGAATGTTTTTACGTGGCCTAAAGACCGTTGGATATTTAATAATCCTTCACAAAAAATAACATAGAAAGTAAAACGCAAGTTTTGGCTGTTTTATGAATGGACAACAGCCGAATTCAGAGGAACATGAAGATTTCTCAAGGTAACGGCGCAGTAAAACTCGGCCACTGTGTTTGATGTGGCTTTCCGCCCAACACATCGGAAAGGATATCAGAGTAAGCTCTTAGTTGTTCACGCGAAGGGCGGCCGATGTAATTTCTGAGGCCTGTTTCACTGCGAAGACCGTAGTTAGCTGTGTTTGAGGTTTTATTACCGTACGTAAGCTTACAATCTTATGCCTGGTTCACACGTAGGATGTAACTGCAAATGCAAACGCTATCGCAAATGCAAGGATTTACACGTGAAATACCCCAACGCAAATGCAAATGCAAGCGACAACGCAAAGAATGAAAACACTTTCATTTTCTTTGGCTTGCATTTGCACTTGAGTTCGCTTCCTACACTTGTGAACCGAGGCAACTGAAAACACAACGCGTAAACCACAAGTTCAATCGTTTACATGCCACCAAGGCCAGTTCAACATAAGATGGCGTCGACGTCATTTTTCGACAAAAGTTTTCCGGAATTTGAAAGATAAATAAAAAAAAGCAGTCTTCCTTGGAAAGATGTGGTCAGAAAGTGGTTCTAAAAGACAGTAAGTTCTACAAATGAATGTAAACATGAACAGCAAACACATCGTCGATGCAGTAATACGATGACTCTCGAACTATTTAGTAAACAGTTGAAGGATAAATACTCTCCTTAAAGCGGATCTGATGACCAGTAGAAGAATGGATGTCAGGGCATCGTCTGCAATGTTTTTCTTGGATCAAATGACAAGTAACATGATGTATCATGGCTGAGTTAACAAATCAGCGATAGTATCAGAAACTTTAGGATTCAGGAGCAGTATTTTGAGAGGTACCAGTAAAGATAAAGTTTGCCTCATCGCGTGAATTTTGTTGAACACAACAGCGGTGTAGGATATAAAGGCGTTCAAAACAAGAATGAGGATGTACGATCATTCTGTTGTCAAAAATAAAACTGTTCTGAGCGCTGCCACGGAGAATTTTACTATAAACTGACTTCCCGTTTTCGGACTGGAGATCGCGATCTTTATGAGGGAAATTTTTTTATCAGTTCGCCATTTTTTTGTGATAGTGAAACTTATGCAAACTTTAAGTCAATGATATAACCTAAAGCTGCCAACTGTCATTTTCTATACTCAAAAAATCAAGGAAAAGGAGAGGCCTTTGGTCAGCTTCTTTGCGCTAATGCTTGGTAATATGCCAATGATTGACCTCACCTTTTTCAGTCTAATATATGTAATAAATATATGGCAAAATAAGTGACCTTCCGGCTTTAACCCTTGTACTCCCAGAGGAGATTAACATGTAACCTCTCCCTATGATATCCACAAATCATCCCGCAAACAAGTAATGAGAATACTTAAACTTATCAGATAAAACCTTCAACCTTGATCTAATATCAAATTTTTGTAGCTAATTTATAACGAAATGTGAAGCAGCTACAAGTGAGAATTAAAAATCAGATCTTGAGAGTTAAAGGGTTATTGATATATCAACCGGTTTAAGCTCAGTGTTCGTATATCGAAGTAAGGATTGTTCGATCACGCTTTTGAATACCTGTCGCAATTTTTCGTGTCACAAACTGTTTTATAAATTTTTGGTTTCGATGATCGAAGGGCGAACAGACCCAAATTTCTCTTTAAACACAGGAAACCTTTCGTGCCAACTAAGCCGTGAAGCAACTTCAGACTTGTTAAAATTTGCTCTCAATCATCCTTTCTAATCGGAAACAACGATTATATTTCCCAGACACTTTTAACTGCTGTGAAATTAATTACACGAATTGAAGCAAATACCAGCGATGTTTTCTGGAAAAATAATTTTAAACTTCGCTAACTCATAAATCATTTCAGCAAAGCTTCCCTACCCTTTTCTGAAACGCTAGTTCATTCGAGTCACTGTGTTTCACGCGTATTTCGCTCAGGAGCGTTTATTAGCACGTTACAGCGAACGAATCAGATTGCTTGAAACATAAGATCGCTGATTGGGTATATGAATATTCACCGCTACGACAATTTTTTCCATGCTGTGTCAACAACATGTAACAACCTTTGCTCTGGAACAAGGAACTTAATTGCGTGAAAATGTTTCAATGAATTAAAGCGTGATATTGAACATCATACCGACCCTCTTTGTAATTACAAAAGTTCTGTTCAACATCATTCCATAAAAAGAACAATCGATGGGAGCAAGATAACAGCGTTTTTGCCCACTTGCACGGTTTATAGATGGAGTCTCTCGTGGTAAGACATAATTTTTTCGATTGTTATGACCCGTAGTCAAGATTTGTGACAATTAATTTTTCAGTAACTTGGCCTCAGTCTCACCTCTACAATTAAGAAAAAAACCTAAATAGATAGATATATCTTTTTGTATCACACCATTTGTGTAAACCATTTGTATAATTTACCTCTCTATGCAAAGTCGGATTTTGATTCTACAGTGCACTAAGCCTTTTTTTTCCGCCGAATGATTTAAAAACGGGAAATTACCTCATAATCTTTATTCCATGCTTGTTAATCACAGGTCAACAGGAAGGTCGCTGGAAAAGTCGAGTGGACTGTTTGTCTTGTGGTGCTAGTTTGTTCCTTTAATGGAAAAGGTAGGTTTGATATAGAAACAGATGTCAATAAAAGCCTGTATCTTTTGCAGAAAGTCACTTCAAGAAGTATTTCATCGAGGAAGGTCCTAAAAAATCAAGTATTGTGTAGCTAAATGCTTTCGACTCAAGAACTTATTTGCTGGGGATAAACTGGGCCGATTCTTATTGGAAAGGGGTAGAGATTATTTATAGATTACCCCTCTAACATGTTGGACAATAAACCAGTACTATTTTACAAACCTTAGCGGTGAAGCATTGTTCGAGACGAGAGTCTTTCCCAGAGAAGACAAAACTCTGGTCCGGCACAACCAAGGCTCAAACCTCGATCCTTTCGATCAGAAATTCAGCCCTTCCACGCTTTTAGTTGGTACATAGTAGCGAGGTGAATTGAGTTGAATATTAGCAGTTAATGGAAAACGGTCTTTGATATTAAAACAAAATCCTTCATTTGTTCGTAAGCACAAACACGTTTTGTGCCCAACTCAGGGTTAAAATGACCCCTAAAAGGGCCAAAAACATATATATACCCAGTAACATAAACTGTATCACTATTGTTATCTCTTTGGAAGGCATTGGAAAATAAGAAATGAAAAACGGAATGACAAAAAAGGCAGTCTGAACAAACACGCAAGCGTGCGAGAAATACATTTTAGCCCGCTTAAATCTCCATTTTAGCACGCCAAATGCGCCACAATGCCCAACAAAGTGATTATAACACCTGTTTTATGAGCCCGTTTGAGACCCTCGATGGAATTTAACAAGCGTAAGGCTCGTAAGCTGTTTCCTTTTGTATTGGTTATTTTGACAAGAACATAAATGATCTCTTTTCTGCACTGTAGGAGTAATATGAAAAGTTTAGAGAACTTTGTGTCCTTGTTTCTTATCGTTTAGAGGTTTGATTATGGTCGTGCATCGAGGTATATCGTTTTATTTCAAACAAATTTGAACGGACCTTTAGAAAGCTTTACTGGCATGTACTTGACTAAAGCCGAAAAGTACTTGACGCGCGACGGAATATAGAGTCAGACTTGGTCGTTTTTATTACCGCTTGACCAACCTGCGACCTCTACTAAGACAGGTGGGCTTTGAATACCAACCCACGTATGGCTTTTTTTTTTTTTTCATTTGCTAAACTACTCTAAAAGAACATATATATGCACCAATAATATGATGAAATGAGATATTTCGTGAAATGTCGTTAAGAAACGCTCGAGCGAACGATCCAAAAGCAACATGAATATCAAAAGCCGTATGATATTCCCTTTGTTATTGTATCCGAGCACAACACGATAACGAGACCATCTTTGATCGTTCCACCAGTCGAGATAACATTGATATCTTGAGATCAAATAGCATGGCAGTCGACAACCTCACATGAATCCCTGGTGTTGCTAACAACCTGATTGTTGTGCGTTCTCTTTCGTCGACCGCTAAATTGCAAAAATTAAAATCTTTTATTCATTTTAGGTCAGGATTGTGGAAGACAGTTTTCTGATGACGCTACGGAAATTTCATCCAAGCGTATTATGGGAGGGCAAAGTTGTCATGTGTCCCGCTGGCCATGGCAGGTAGCACTGATCTCAGATGGTGAACAAGTCTGTGGGGGGTCTCTGATAACCTCTGACTGGATTGTGACTGCTGCTCACTGTTTCGATAAAGGTATATCATGACACATGCTCCTCTCAAACTCATTGATACATTCGTGGTTTTGGATCTAAAAAGAGAAAAGAGGCATAATGAAAAGGTAAAGAAAGTGAAAATTCCCTTAAGTCAGACCTTATTCCGATGTTCCAAAGAGCCTTTCACTTCGTAAAAGTACTGTTCGCACGGGTGAGTCATGTCAAAGCACACTTTTAAAAAAATTATCATTTCAAAGTAAAATTACATTAAAAATCTCCCGAATTTATCAACTGCCATGATTTTAGGAAATTATAGGACACTGAGAGGTCTCTCAATACAGTTGTATGTAGCATAATCAATATACTCAGTGCAATTGGAGAACTTATCACCTTTATTGCGACGGCAAGTCAAAATATTGATATTCACAAGAGTGTGATGATTAACTGGGTTAATTCTCTTGGAAGTTATTTATGGCTAAAAAAGGAAAGGTGTCTGTGGCTACTCCACCTTGATTCCCGACCACAGAGGGCCAACGTTTCCAACACTGTATAGATATGAAAATCCATCTCACCGATCCTGATTTTTCTGCGACCTTATCAATCTCCATTTTGCTAACAAGGCAGAATTTCTTCTCTCACAGATGCTATCCCAACTCACTGGAGTGTTATAGCAGGTGAACGCAATTTAAAAGTGAATGGATCTCTCAAAAGAAGCTTGGAGATTTCTAATATCTATCTTCACCCACAATATACATCCAACGCACCAACGTACGAGTTTCCGTCGGACTATGACGTTGGTGAGTAGAATTTGAAGGAAAAAAACTAGAGAGCAGAATGGAATACAGAATTATATTTTCTTAAAGGAAAGCCCAATGATAACCAGGTCAACGTACATATGCAGCCTACAGAAAGTTCTTACATACCTGAAAGGGATATTCTTCTCAGGTAGAGCGCTGCAAGTGTGCCTCATACACAAATTAAGTTTTTTAATCAGTTAGTTTTTAGTAAGACTAAGAGAGCATAGAATATGAGGAGAAGTAGATTAAGGATTATTAAAAAAGTCGAAAACTGGTGGAGGTAGGGGAGAGAGGGAATGGAAGTGTGCCATCATGTCCCCTTCGTTTATTAATAGACCTTGGCAGCTCGATTAGTGAGACATGGCCTGCATTGAAGAATAGAGGCTGTAGATTTTGATTTTTATTCGTTGAATTCAATTCAAATTCAACTCACTGATAAGCCAATACATGGATGACCTCTAAATTTCGTTAGTTTTATGGCTTATAACTTTTTAAGTTGAAGAAAAAATAGCGGGGGGGGGGGACGCTATGTTTAATCGAGCGGGTACTAATCATGTCTTGAGGGACAAAAGCTACACTTAACCACACAAAACTTTAAAAAGAACCTTGAGTGCATAGGTATTTTATATTTTTTCCCTCAGCCATGGTCCTTTTGAAGCAGAAGTTGTTATTAACAAGCTGTACCTTTCCAATATGCTTGATGCCAAACGATGCACGTTTTCTCCCAGGCACTACATGCTACGTTACCGGCTGGGGAAGACTGGCAACTAATGGCCCTCATCCAACGATGCTTCAGGAGGCACAGGTTCCACTCGTGTCGAGGGAACTGTGTAACAACCCGGAGATTTATAACGGCCTCATACATGAAAGGGCTCTCTGCGCAGGTTCAGCTGAAGGAGGAGTGGGACCGTGTCAGTTTGACAGTGGAGGACCACTGGCGTGTCAAGAAAGTGGGTTATGGTACCTTTCTGGCGTCGTTTCGTGGGGAGTGGGGTGCGGAGAGCCCAATAAACTGGGTGTGTACAGTGATATGAGTGTTCTGATGGATTGGGTGAAAGATATGGTTGCTACAGACGCTAGTTTCATTTGACGAAGTAAGAATGAGATTGCCTCGCTAGAGAAAACAATCTATTGTGACGTCCAATCATCATCGCCTCACAACTCTTGTCAATCCGTGATCGGATCTGAGATAAGGCATGTACTAACCATTTATAAACTAAAACGCAATCACTTCACCGAAAACCTCTGCTTAAACCTTCGGTGTGTTCACAAAATGTTGATTCAGATGCCGTAACGAAGGAGGACAGGTTAGACAGCATCCATGGGCTTTCACTGGGGGAACCATTGTTGTTGTTGTTCATCTTCACTATTAATCTGCAGTTCAAACATGAGACATTTCTTTATTCACAGTAGTTAATAACATATTTACATATTTACAGGGCTCATTAAGCAAGTTTGGGATTTCAGAGCCTGTTTACATGGATGTGGGGGACCCCAGGTAGGAAAGGTAACCCGCCTAGCCGTGGTCGAAAAAAACGCCCACGTTAACATAAATCTTAAAAACCCGGGAAACCGGGCTGAATTTTTTCGAATAAAGGGGGCAAGTTTCTAAAAAAAAAATGTGGTGCTGCGTCGGTGGGAGAGTGTAACAGATAATTTAATGTTAACAACTGAGTTGAAAACGTAAATTGGCCACCGTAAAGAGTGCATATGGCAGTTTGCGGCCTTTTCCCAAGATCTTGGCAGTTCAGAAAGCCGCAAAACAGTAGAAAAAAAATTTATCTTCCAAATCGGCACTTCTAGTCCCCACAGCATCAATGAGCACTTTTCATTCCCCTAATTTATTCTTGTTTTCTCGTCACCATATTCCCACCAATAGCGTAGCTCCATTTCCTACATATAAATCCACACACAACCCACAATTCCTCCAATCGCCCTAACGAAGGGCTAACGCTCGAAACGTCAGCCTTTAAATTCTTTACGGTGGCCAATTCAACTCAGTTGTTAACACTAAATTACCTGAAGTTTTTCGAGGTTGTTTGTAATTAAGGAGTTTAAGATGTCACTACGGTGACGTTTTATAAAACGTTGCCGCAAAAACATAATGTATTTTCTTCAAAGATTTTGGCCAATAGTTCGATGTATTCACCGTTTCTGACGGTAAAGCGTCTTCACTTCAATATAACATGTGAATGTAGTGTTGAGCTCAAAGTAAAAAGGTAACTAAATAGCCGTCGAGGTTTCATTACTAGGAGGACGTAAAAATGGGTGTTTTCACGTTTTAGCTCTGCATTGGGACGGTTAGGAAATGTACAAAGTTTTAACACTCTGGTGTTTCGTTAATTTTGTGCTTATTTGACCTTTTTGGAACATGAACACGACCCCGGCTAGGCGGGTTACCCTACCCTACCTTACATGACAGGGTAACCCTTCTCAGCAGACCGGGCAACCGCCTAAGCGGGTCACCCCAAGTAAACGTGACCAAGATGAAATAAGAGATTATATGAACAGGAGTGTTACCCCACCTGGGCGGGTTACCTCACCTACCAGGGGTTCGCCACCTCCGTGTGAACAGGCTCTCAGTCGTTTAAGCTTCTTGGCTTCTAAAAGTTTGCTAACCTACAGGCGTCTTATAAAGGGCGAGTTCACATTAAGAAGTACGCCATCGTTTGTTCAATCGGCCATGTTTAATTTGGAGATAGAGGCAGTGGGTAAGAGGGTGGGGAAAGGGGAAGATTTCACTCCCCCACTCCTACCCCTCTCATTATTTATAACCGTCGACCTCCCCTTGGTACAAATTTCTTTCTCTCCCCAGGCTTTCGCTGTTATTAAATTAAAAGATGGCGGCCATGATCTTCACTAAGGAAATACTTAGCGTTCGCTGGCATAATTTACGCCTGCTCTGCGACTAATAGTTTGCCTGTTGAAGTATATTGTTAACCTCTTTACTAAAAGTGTTCGCTAGTTCGGAGTCGAGTGTTCTGGACGCTGATTAAGCTTTGGCGATGATCTCTGTGGCAGGAATGTGTTCTTAAGAGCTACACAGAAGTTCAGTCCTTTCTTTGGCTATCTCAGCATCGCCTTTATAAGGTAACGGGTATCCAGTCAACCTTACCGTCTAAAGAGAACTATCGTGACTAAAGCGACGCACGAGTACTACTAGTGGCATACGAGTGCATACAAGTGACAGACGAGTACATACTAGTGAATACTGATATACATGAAGGAATGGTCAAAACATCGTGATCCACATCGGTACTGACTATAAACGAATACAAATTGGTCAATTGTTCTTAAAGCAAAAATGGTTACAGATTCAAATGAAGAAAAATTGAAACAAATTGAACCAGTTTACGATATATTTCGTTTACCTATAAAACTCTAGGTCTTTCATTTCCTTTTTTTTCTTTTCTTGTGTATCTTTTAGTGTCTTCATATGTGCAAGGGATTATCTTTGTGTTCTCTTGAGATGTGTTGTTTCTTCATTTCTGTCTTATTTCCAGCGTGATATAATTAAGTCAAATTTTATTTAGTTCAGAAAAAATAACATCTGTTATCTGCAGGTCAAAGAAATATCTTGTGTATTTATAAGAAAATAAAATAAAATAAAAGAGTGAAAGTGTGATGGGGTACCGTTTGGAAAATATTAAACAACCGTCCGTCAATGAGACCAGCGAAGGTCATGCGAGACTATCGACGGAAACAAAGGAAGTCAAAACAGAGTCTCCTACAGTCACTGCCTCGCTCTCTTGGGAGCTATGAAAATTTAATCAGGTGGTAAATTTTATTTATTGATACGCGGAGATCAGTTGTTTGTCATCTTTGTTATTGTGGTTCACTGTGCCCAAGGAAAGCGATACCTACAATACATTGTAAATGATAAGCACAATCGAATAAGCGAGATCTTCGATACTTACTCCCGCTTTGCATCTTTTAGCCCTTTATGGTGTAGAACAGGTCGATTCAAAGACTTTGCGCTTCCAATAGATATAAAAAGAGGGATTTTGACAAATTTGAAAAAAACCTTGATTTTAAGGCAACTCATAAATTTAACCCTGATTTCAAGTCAACCTTGAAATCAGCCTTATTAAAAAAAAAAAACATTTCTTGCACATTTTGGAGACAATCTTGATTTCAAGGCCACTTGAAAATTCACAGGTGAGTGATATTCACAATGTCTCACTCATGGCTTCTGAAGAGGGTTGTGAACGATTCTCTTGTCGCGCCATCGGGGTGTTAATTGTTTGTGTGAATATTTTCAAGTATCAACGTTGTACCTTCTCGCAAAGAAGTCGTGATGTGCCTTGATTTGTTCTTCTGTTAAAACAGACTTATCTAATCACTGTGAAAGAAGACTGGCGTGAGAACAGGTACCTGCTTTTTATTAGAAGCCTCTTTAAGACACGCTAAGTTATTTCAAACTTTCAGGGACAAGTTTGAAGATAGACCGATAGAAATTTCAGGGAAAAATATGCCACATTTATTGATATTAATCGATTATTCACAGGCGCCTGCTTTTTCGATGAAACGTTTTTAAAAAAAAATTATTTTGTTTTTACAAAGACCTGCGCAACAACGTCAGAGTTGTTATGGAAACTTTTTAACATTAATTTTCACAAAATCGTTCACCGTTGAAAACTTATCTGATGCATAAGAAAAGGTTGATCCTTGAATAAGGCATATGGGTCGTGGGTTATAAGAGTTTCATTTTCGATCAAAAATTTGCTTCTTTCAAAGCTTCAACTGTCTCAAAAACGACTTCACGGATTTCTCTTCTATATTTTGGCTTAGAAAGCACATGAACATTTATATGAAACGACGTAATCACTCTTTTTTAAGTGAAAAATATAACTTTCTTGGTAAATTAGATTCACCTGCTTTATTTGTCTCACGTGCGGGTTTTTATTTATTTTGAAACGCTTATCTATTCTAAAAATCCTCAGCGTCTTCCATTATGAAATCTTTCGCGTCGAGGTAATGATCAATAGTTCTTTCGATAAATCCCTTCAAACGGTTTACAAATTGCGGAAACCTCTTGTTATTTGTTTTGAAAGATAAATATTCTCTGTCGTTACAAAACTGAAAGATAAATATTCTCTGTTGTTACAGAACCAAAAGGTGCATCTTCCACTTGCTGATTGGTTAAATTGAAACGACTCGTCATGTGACTTAAGCATATAAACTGTTGATGACACGTGGGGGGATACAAAATCTAGACAAAAATTATAAAGACGCTTTTATGTCTTCTGAATTTTTGTCTCGATATAAACAGAGAAAACCCGTATGGCCTCTTGTCAAATTTAAATCTAATTTCGTTAATTATGTTTACGAGTTATCCGATGATATGGTAGAGGTCAGATTGATTTCAACTGGACTGGTATCAGCGTTCTTGATTGAATCGCTCTACGGCTTCTGGCTCTTAGACCTAGGGCCGCTTGGACCCCAAAGCGGTCCCTGGCCCGAAGGGCTTCATTACTTGTTCTTCTTAAAGCGCTCAACCATGAATATGGTGACTCCCGTTATTGGAGGCCATACATTTTGACCGAGAAAGTTGATCACTGATCCTGCAGTCTTGGAAATGAAGCCGGTTATCGAGCCTATGAGACTTGGGAGAATATCCGAGATCTTACTTCCAAGAGTCTTTAAACCAACCCCAACACCTTTGGCAACAGACTTCAGGCCTCTTGTCAATGCGCTCACAATCACTCCAATCGTTGTTCCGACTGCGAGTGCAACAGCTGAGACTATAAAACCGTATTTCTTGAACTTGTTTCTCTCTTAGTGACGTGCTTTCTTCAAGTTCTTCTCTCTCATCCTCAAGAGCATCAATCCGCTCTTGTTTTCTGATATCCTCTCTCTTGCTCGATTTTCATTCTCATCATCAGCAATTCCCCGATCCTCCTGAATAGGCTTCTGTTCTTCTTCAATTGTTTTATCTTTCTCAGCAATCAAAACTTCTCGCTCCGGGCCGAGTGAAGTTTTTATTTGTTTTGGGAGTGATCGATTCAACCTTTGCTTATTCGTACCCCTTTCTTCACTACACAAAGGATATGTCCTCTCGCCCTGGCCAAAAACCTTTACCTGCAACCTTCCTGTTTTACTAGAAGAAACCTCGAGTTGCGAAGCTTTTGCATCGGGATAATTTCTGGTATGGGAGTCCCATGCCTTCTCATTTGAAAGATGTTTCAGCAGTCTCCGATGAAGTTGAATTATAATCAGGTATAAAAGGTGTTGTTATTTCCTTCAATTTCATCATCATCGTCATCGTCATTGTGTTCCAAAAGAAGACCGCGCGATTCACATTTAACCCTAATAGGGCATCTCCATGTGAAGTTCTCAGAGTCCCAGGTCCAAAGCGTGATGACGGAGTTGTCCTTGTGCCAGGATCTCTTTCACTCATCTTTGACTTGGCAGTTAGTGGTCGCGCAAACAATTATACCGTGAACAATGTCACAAGAGCTCATGTTGACAGGTTGACTGTGAAATTCGCAAGAGAAATCGCGCAGAACACTGATGGTATGACCTATTCAAGCTATATGAGGACCTCTTCTTGACTGATAATGAGAGGGCGAGCATGTTCAGAGAAGGTATTCAATCTGGAGACCTTTAGAAGATAAGATGCAAGACTGGGGATAAGAGGACTTCAGGTGTTGATAAAGAGAATAAGCTCAATGAAGTTTATGGCAACAAATATAGGATTCCATTGGATTATGAAATTCTGAAGGATCATGGACTCTCCTCCCCAAGAGCTCTTCCTGATGAGCTTCTTTTCGAGCTCAGGCTTGCACCTGCAGGCAATGTTGCGATAAGATCTCACGAGACACAGCTTGCCTATGAATTGACTAACATCCAGCTTGAGTATGAAGTCATTCAAAGTGAAGAACTTGCAGATGAGGCCATGTCTAAGTACAAAAATGGAGAAGGATTCATGTACGAGCACGTCACTCATCTCAAGACAATCTCAGTAGATAAAGGATCAGACACAATCATCAATGAGAACATCAATGTTCCAAGGAAGTCAATGAAGGGACTTCTTTTTTACGAGCCATATGTCGCTGGTGCGAGAGACAGTGAGAAGACATTTAATCCCGTCATCACTAAAGTGAAGGTGATTGTCAATGGAATCCCAAATAAGGTTAACAGCTAAGGAATGGAGACAAGAGATATGTGTTAAGAGGTCTTCAGAAGATTTAGAGAGGAAAACAGCGCGATTAATGCAACAGACGTCTATGCTGGAGACAGATTCGCTCTTTTCATCGATCTTAGGAGTATGGGAGACAATGAGCTTCATGGAAGTGGATTAAGATTGGTGAATACCAAAGAAGGAGTTAGTTCAGCTCGCATTGGATTCAGGGAATATAAAATGTCACATCTTCATCCTCTCAGATGCTCAGCTCAACATCATCAACAGAGAGCTTGAAAGCGTGACCTATTAATGAGATAACTCATTTATAAAGCCAAATGTTTGATCATCTCTCTCTCGAAACAATATAGAAATTTACCACAAACCTACCCGCTTATAGGCTCAAACTTGTTTGTTGCAACAAACTGTTTGAAAAAATAAATTTGAAAGATTTGTGACTCGCCAGAAAAGAGGCTCTTTTCAGTTCATGGCTTTTGCATTCTTCAAGATTCTGAACGTCATACTTTATTCTTATAAGAGTAACACCCTTTTCCACTCATAATTCTTTCTCTCGTCTCTCCTTCTCTGGCTTTCGAATTGCCTGTATGTTTGATGATGTGGGTTTGGATATGCATGATGTTGAATATCGTCAAATCCGAAAGTTAATTTAGTGTATCACAAAAACCATCTAATTCATTGAAAATATTCTCAAAGATTTTACGGCACCTTTCCTCATTAATAAATATTTTTTTGCCGTTTATTTTTTAATTTTTCTCACCCAGAAGTTTTTTCTTATCCGATCTCTTCTTGACAAAAGGCCTATCATTAAATTGAATTCTTCTGTGAGTATTGGAATTAAATTTGTTTCCATACTAACAACATGTACCATTTTTTAAGAAATTTTGTTTTTATGCAATGTAAAAAATGGAAAACAAAAAAGGTTCCACAATTAAGACCTCAAGCCAAACGCCTCGGACTCAAAAGATATTCAAGACTAAGAAAACAGGATTTGATTAAGTTGATTTCTGTTATTCTTCACATCTAGTTCCAGAAATTGATGCTCCACTATTGACACCAACAAGATATGTCAGGCCTTGAGTTGATGAGTCTACCGCTCCGCGGCTTGGCCCCTTATGGCCCTGTCAAAGGTTTGGCCAAAGGCCCGGACCTATGGGACTTACCCCCTCGGAGTTTGAACAACAAAGACGGAATAAAATCAGAGAAATCGAGGAGATGCATGAATTGAGAAGGCCTACTTCAGAGGAAGTAGCCTGCGGAGGTGAATGGAATGAATTTGTTAAAAGTTATAAGCCAATTTGCAATTCACGAGTCAGCCAGGGCAAGGCAACTTAGAATTGAAGGAATTGAAGGTTTTGGATGGAGAGAGTTCATGGAAAAAGTCAAAGCAGAGGTCTTGATGATAATGAGAGAGAATCGTCAAATGAAGGTCAAGATACTCTCGTGTGGGATGATAACGGAAAATGAAGATAGATCAGTCCAGCTTCAAGATGCATTTTTCCACACCGAAGTGATCGAAATTCTTCGCGCAACAGATGGATCACAAGCATTCGATAGATTCGTGCAAACATTTGACGAAAGAAGTCAAAAGCCTAATTAAAAAGGAAGCAATTGGAGATTTCAAAGAGTGATATCTCTTGACATCCATCTTGCCGAATTCAGACCGTTGAACGACAGCTCTTACATCAAACTCCCAGAATTCATTAAAAGTGAGAAAGCAGTAGTAAACATGGTGAATGGAGATGAAGAATACTTCGAGTGTGAAGTAACAAGAGCAATCAACCCTGTAGTCTCTAACACCAAAGAATAACAAAGATTCTCAAAGCAAAATCTGAGAAGATACACATTGTCTTCCCTTTCGAGCTTGACAAGATAAGCAAATTTGAAGAGCAGAATGAAGACATTGTAGTAAATGTGCTAGCCTTCGGTGGGTCGCTACGCGGCTTGGTTATGAACGAGTCTCTTTGAGGTCCGGCCGAAGGCTTAATTTTTATCCATTAAAGATCAGCAAAGAGGAAAATAGGAAGCACGTCATAAATCTTCTTCTTATAGCAGATAAAGAAAAGAAGCACTACTGCCTGATGAGCAACATGAGCAGGTTCCTCTCGAGTTAAACCTTAAAGCCTAAGGAAGCGAAAGAGTATTTCCTCAGATGTCTAAATCACTTCTCCAATTCAAAAGTTACCACCGCTCAATAAGAGTACCCTTTGTGGTTTATGCTGACTTTTAGGGAAGTATCATAGAGCAGCTCACTGCATATGCAACCTACAATTCAATAAGCCAAAGTTTTCTCCTGTGATATTCCACAATTTAGCAAACTATAATTCTCATCTATTCGTTAAGAATCTCGGCAAAAGCGAAGGAAACATCAAATGCATTCCCAATAATGAGGAGAAGTACATCAGCTTCAGCAAAGATGTTGTAGCTGCGAATATTAGAAATTAAGAAGAAAAAGAAGTCAAAGTGAAGAAGGAGCTTCGCTTTATCAACAGCTTCAAGTTCATGGCTTCTTCCCTTGATAAATTAGTTTCAAACCTGAGTTTTGAGAAGCTGAACAGAACTGAGAAGGTATTCAAGGACAAAATCGAGTTGGTCTCAAGAAAGGGTGTGTACCCATACGATTGTATGAGCAGCACTGAAAAGTTCAATAAATAAGTTTGCCACCAAATGAAAAATGCTACACTCAGCTAACTGATTGTGGAATTTTAGATGAAGATTATGAGCACGCGCAGAAGGCCTGGAAAGAGTTCAAATTGAACACTATGGGTGATCACCGTGATCTTTATCTCAAGACAGCGTTTTCTTGCTTGCAGATGTTTCGAAGAGTTCAGAAGTGCTTGTCTTGAGAATTGTGGCTTAGACCCTGCTTGGTATTACACATTACCTGGTTTATCATTTGATGCCTCATTGAAAATGTCACGACAAAAATTTGAATACTCACTGATATAAACATGCTGCTGATGATCAAAACGGATTTCGTGGAAGAATCTTAATGATCTCGAATCGATTTCCAAGAGCAAATAATCCATATATGCATGAAGCTTATGATCCAAGCAAGCTAACAAAGTACATCACATATCCTGATGCGAATAATCTCTATGGATGGGCAATGGGCCAGCCTCTTCCTATCGGAGGTTTTAAGTGGATGACTGTTCAAGTGGATGACCATGTTGACGAAGAAAAACTTCTGATAGACTTGAATGATAACTTCATGGTAAAGAGAGAATTTGGAATGATTGCTGGTGGATTGAGTCTGAAGCATGGAAGGTACATGGCAACCGCAAGTGCGGCTCTCCTCACTCCCTCACTCAAATTATTTCAGTGGCAATTGTCGCTCTCTCACTGGCTGGACTGTACTATAGAAGAAAAAAAAAACCAACACAGCGAAGTGAAACATTGAAAAACACACAAACCATAATTCCTGTGAGAGTAAAACCAATAGTTTGATTTTTTTTTCTGTTTAGCAAACAAAATGTTTCATAATAAGCTTGTGAAAACATTGACTAACTCAGCTACCTTGACTAGATTGGCCGCCGGAATTGGATGGGTTGCAAGGAAAGTCATCAAAGAACCGATGGTTCAATCTTCTCGTTAGAAATATTTTAATAGACTTGTCTTTCTTTCCGTCTTCTGTTCTTTACAGATGTTAGAAAAGTTGCTGTTGTCGTCACGGATGGATTTAGTTTTATCGGACCCGGAATTGTAAAACTAAGGGCCGATGAACTTAAAAACAGAGGAATCGAAGTGTTCGCAATCGGAATTACCAAAAGAATGGGGGACGACGAGTTGATAAACTTATCCAGCAAACCTGTCCAAAAACATTTCTTGAGGCTAACCGATAAGGAGGACTCAATCGAAAGAAAAACTGATAACATTGTCCAAGAAATCTGCAAATAGAGAAACTACTTCCCTCAAATTTAATAGAAAAGAAAGTTTGCATCGTGAATCAGACTACTTGCAAAGTTGTTTGTTAATTTACGCACAATCACAACAAATCAAGTTCTCCGTTTAAAGTCCAGAGAGCCCATAGAACTTTGTGTCTCCACTTCCTCAAAACTTATTATCTAGTAGAAGGTTCCCTTTCCGCTTAAAAGTTGTTCTATATTTGGGTCATCATATCAATCTTGCAATTATTTTCAAAACCATTATTTAATCGTGGTAACTCTGAAAGTACACGACAGAATTTTTCAAAGAATACCTTTTTCAGTCGAAAACCAAAATTAAGAAGTCACTAACCATTTATTTGTATTCATATAGATGAAAAATAATGTGATGCTGTTATTGCTCAGGGTAGGAAAATAGGAATGTGCTGTCTAAGAACTTAATGGGAAAACTGTGACGGAAATATAAGAAGTCAAAGCAAGGTCTATTTCGGACTATTTCGACATTCTTACTTTGTCAAATGACTTCTCTACTCACGAGCAAATGCTGTTTGAAAATGTTATTCATACCATCTGTCGGCCATCTCTTAAGGTTATTTTGGACCAAATGCGACTTACAACTTTTTGATACTAAAACATATTTAGGCTTCGGTGGTGGAACCATTCAATGATCTTAAGTGACAAAGCGAATATTAGCAAACTTTGAACTCGTCAAGCACCCCTTGGTATATAAAAATGAAATAAAGAAATGCAAGAAAAATTAAATAAAACCTCTCCTCACCTGGAAAATATCGCATACCTAGATATTTAATCACAATTAGTTGATTATGCTTCGAAGAAGTCAAAGGGAAGAATAATTCGATTAGATTGATTGTAAATCAAGATTAATTTTTCATGATTCTTATACTTGTTATTGTGTTTTGACTTACGCCTAAGGTAAGTGATATCTCCAACATATTAGCAGCTAAAAAACAAGGGAGAATAAGCGAGAGTTTGGAAATTTGTCATCCTGCCCCCATTATTGACAACTTGGCAGCTTAATTATCGGGAAAAGCTCCGCACTGAAGAATATAAGCTACCACTTTTGATTGCTATTCGCTATATTTATTTCAATTCAAATTCAGACTGATCGCAGTAATAAGCCCACACATGTGAACTCTCGTGAACTCAAGTTACGTTTACAGTAGATTATAACACACCCAATAATTTTGGCGCAATTCTATTTGCTACTTTTTGTCAAGGAGTGCAAAATCACCAGACAGGCAATAACCCCATTGTATGTTGATATTTGTCCTCCGATTATTTCCGTCGAAAAGAAACAAAGTCAGCGGGAAAAATACCAGCTCAAGAGTTTTACTTTTTCATTTTTATTACTTTACATGAAAGAAAAACGAACTCTTTTTTCAGTGATAGTGATGGTGATGGTGATGGTGATGGTGATGGTGATGGTGATGGTCAAATTAAAAAGCTGGTCTCAAATAACGCTCCGAAAAGTACAAAAGAGTAAAAAAGAAATTGCTGTCAACGCGTAATACGAAAATTACTGGAAGTAATGAAGCCCATCAGGCGGTTGGTATGTCCACTGATAATTTCCTTTCCTTTCCCTCAAAGCTTCGCTTTTCGGCTAGATATTCACTTCTCGGACAATAAAAGCCAAATACGATACTCAGAACAACTTAATGTAGTTTACTATTGTTAAAATAATTGGATTAAGGCCATTTTTCACCCTGATCACTCTTATTTGCACAACCGAGCTACTGACTGAACAGTTTTTTTAACTAAATGAAAAATTGGGCTTTTCAATCTTTTCTTTTGTTTTAAGTCCTTAAAAAATTGGGGTCACGACGCGTTCTCTAAGTATTTCAGATTTTTAAATTTGTTATTTCATCTCGTTCTAGCACACAAACACCTCCACTGTTGCTAAAACACTTTTCTTCAATTTCTGAAGTTTTCCATGGAAACATATCGTCCACTACGTTTTCCTTTTTTTCGGTTTTGAAGCGAAAAAAGTCATGATTGAGCCAATTTGACTCGCAACATGTAGGGATAAATAGTCCTTCCATAGGACACGGATAACTATAAATGTAGGAAATGTTGGTCTCTTGCGTGGTCATTGAGAGAGCCGACTCATTCACTCACCCAAGCACACGTGACCATGGCGTGATGCACAACATAATCCGCACTGGCAAAGTGCGGACGGCTCCCTTGTGATAGTTATCTTGCAAAGTGAAGTCAAATTATTTGAATAAAGGGGGTAAGTTTCAAAAGAAACTGCGTTACTGCGTCGTTAGAGGAGTACAACAAGATAATTTGGTTTTATCAACTGAGTTAATAATGTAAATTGCCCACCGTAAATAGTTTCAAAGCTGACATTTCAAGCGTTGAAACTCTTTACGGTGTACAATTTACATTATCAACTCAGCTGATAAAACCAAATTATTAAATTATTTGAGTTAGTTGATAGGATTGTTGTGTAGGGATTTTTTTTTCTTTCGGAAAAATCTTATGGATATCTAATGGTTTAAACCCGGGAGTAAAATCTTGTGAGCTATTAAAATTTAATCAGGTGGTAAATATTATTTACTGATAAGCAGAGATCAGATACAATTCAACCAACTGTCGATGAGAAGGTTTAAATGAAGATGTATGTTTTTTTCTTTTTCATTTTTGTTCTTGCCGTGACTCACTGTGCACAAGGTATGCGATGACTACAATATATTGTAAGTGATACGCAAAGGTGAATAATTGAAATTTAGGATACTTCTCCCTTTCCAATTTTTAACCCTTTGTGGTGTAGAATCATAGGTCGACTTAAAGACATAGTGCTTCCTTTTATTTGTACCTAACAATAAATCTACTAAGAAAAAAGGCTAGGGCGCTATGAGTTAGACAAACTGAGGAACCGAAATAAAATAGGTTTCAATAGAAACGAAAAATATTTCTCGCAAAAGTGATACCTTTTATAGTGAAAACTGGATAACGAAAGGAAGCAATTTTTAATTTTCGTCGCTTACAATAATCCCCCACACTTTTCTACCCTTACCAAATATGTAACGCTAATATTAGACATATCGTCAATCTTGAGTTCCTAAACTTGTTTTTCATCTACAACTGAATTGTAAAATTGCTTAATAGAACAGGTATAAAAATCGTATAAGTTTCTAGTCAGTTTTGGTGATCGTATTACCTTCTATAGAGGATGTATACGTATGAAGTAAGAGTCGTTCAGATATTTGGAGTGGGTGTAAACACTGATACTTAAACATACTGGTTATCCTTTGTTTAAACATACACTACCCGCTGCAAAAATGGAAAAACGTATTGAAGCACAGACTTAACAGCCACCATAGCACAAGAATTGATTTGTGGAAGAGTGTGTAAAATCACGAAAGGATCAGAAGAAATGTGACCTTCCCGAATTACGCAATCGAAGTATTTTTGTATTGAAATATTTGAATCTAATCCAGAAGAAGCCATTTTTTTTTATTAAAGTAGGTGTTTCTCACACGGATTTTGAATAAGCTGAGATATGCCACTGTTAAGAATTAATCTGTTCGCGAGTGCGCGTTGGATACAGAATGGTAAATAGTCAAAGAGGAGAATCTTACATGTTTCACACATTCACGGACATTAACCTTAGCCTTAGCCGTGATTGCTAAATAATGCTTTGCTCTCAGTGAGAAATTACTTCTAACAGTCAATTACTGTTTTGTTTGATGTTTTTGTCAAATTACTATGTCTTTACTTTTGAATAGGTAAAATACAGAAATGCGACCGAAAAATTGACCTGGCGGTCGTTTTGGACGTTTCAGCGAGTATAAAAGAAGAAAACTTAAGCCTCGCAAAGAAATTTGCCAAAACACTTCTAAGACGATTCAGAATCTCCAGAGACAACGTTCGTGTGTCGCTTGTGGCGTACTCGGAGTCGGTGAAGATCTATTCCGCGTTCGAGGACGACCAGGAGGAAGAAGGGCTTGAGCGAAAAGTGAACAATGTCTTCTTTGAAGGATCTTCCACGGCGACATCGAAATGCTTAACAATATTAAACAGTCGTCTGTTTGTGCAAGAATCTGGGTCAAGAATCAAGGAGTCTGGTAAGTCCTCTAAGGAAATAACATGTCATTGCAGGTCATAGACAAAAGAAAAGATAAAGAAATCGACTTGACTTCGCCCACGGCACTGTAGAATAGGGAAGGAGTATTAATACAAGAACAAATACAATTTTGGCAAGTAACATGATGAAACGTCATAGCGACGGTCGAACCGTTCTAAAAAGATTATCGTTCTGTTATGATACTTAAATGCTAGTTTATGTAGCTTTCCTTTTTCTTTTGTAGAAAATAGATTGAAAGATGTTTCGGAAATAGCAAAAGTTCGTAAGGTTCACAAAATCACGATAAATAACGTGAGTTGTTTACATTTCAATAGATATGAATATTTGGCCTTTACGTTTTATAAGATATTCATTTGTAAACCTTTTCAAACGTTTGGTTTACTACTGATTTTAGTCATCGTCACAATACAAACTACAATGTTAATAATTGACTATGAATATGTGAAAATCATTTGCGTGAAATGCGGATTCAAAGATTAATTTACAATAAGGTTTTCTCAGTCGGTTATCTTTGCCAACAATGTTCTGGTTAGAAATATTTTAATAGACTTGTCTTTCTTTCCGTCTTCTGTTCTTTACAGATGTTAGAAAAGTTGCTGTTGTCGTCACGGATGGATTTAGTTTCATCGGACCCGGAATTGTAAAACTGAGGGCCGATGAACTGAAAAACAGAGGAATCGAAGTGTTCGCAATCGGAATTACCAAAAGAATGGGGGACGACGAGTTGATAAACTTATCCAGCAAACCTGTCCAAAAACATTTCTTAAGGCTAACCGATAAGGACTCAATCAAAAGAATAACTGATAACATTGTCCAAGAAATCTGCAAATAGAGAAACTACTTCCCTCAAATTTGATAGGAAAGAAAGTTTGCATCGTGAATCAGACTACTTGCAAAACTGTTTGCTAATTTACGCACAATCACAACAAATCAAGTCTCCCGTTTGAAGTTCAGAGAGCCCATAGCACTTTGTGTCTCCACTTCCTCAAAACTTATTATCTAGTAGAAGGTTCCCTTTCTGCTAAAGGTTGTTCTATTTTTGGTTCATCGTATCAATCTTGCAATTATTTTCAAAACCATTATTTAATCGTGGTAACTCTGAAAGTACACGACAGAATTTTTCAAAGAATACCTTTTTCAGTCGAAAACCAAATTTAAGAAGTCACTAACCATTTATTTAATTGTAAAAATGTCTGTGCTTGCCACTTGAAACGTAAATTATCATGACATCTTGAAAATTTGATTAAGGTTTTATTTTCCTGCTTTTTCCATAACTCAGTGCAAGTTGTGAAATACAGAAACTACTGCACTGTTTAGAGAATTTCGTAACCTGTTTTTGTAACCACATTTCAGACTCAAGCATCGCTCAGAGCCTTTGAATTATCTTGTCCCAGGTTTTCAAAATGTAAAGTTTGCAGATTCCCTCTCCTTCACTTCGTAATAATTGGCCGTTTTTATGCTAGAGACGTTAAAGTTGTCTAAGACGTTAAAGTCGTCTCGAGACGACTCATGGCTAGAAATCGAGGTCAGTCAGCGGCTGATGTCGCGGACGCAACACGAGCTGCGTTTCACCTTACTGCGTCTGCGCATCCCACTAAAATCAAACATCTTCTTTTTTGAGTTGAGTTCCTCTTTCCTCCTTGTCCCTTTGGCCTTTGCATATTCACTTTGTACTTTTCCACAAATTTTTCTTAAAGATTCATTAACTTCTAGTCTAATTTTTTCATCACTGCTAATTGCAAATGCATTTCCCGGAACAGAGTAATCAAACAGATCAACATAAGTATAAGATAATTTCATGTTTGACTCATGCATGTGCAAATTTGATGGGGTTGAACAAGATGGTTCTCCATTGCCATAGGTGTGATTTCTATCATTTTTCTGTGTCTTGATAAAATCATGCCACAATTTCAGCAAAGGGTAGGGTACGTCCACAGCTAAGATGATATTCCTTGTCACTGTCTTGGCAGCATAGGCTAAAGAGGGACTTTCAATCCCAAACTCCCATTTTAAAAATTAATCAAAACATCAGACATTTTGCCAACGGAGGCATCTGGAAAGGCATCAGTGACACCGGGAAAGGCATCAAGAAGAATGATATTTACGATATGTAAGTTACAAAACGTAAATATAATTCTTCTTGGTGCCTTTCCGGATGCCACCGATGCCTTTTCCGATACCTCTATTGTTTATTACAGCAGTAAAAGATATTTGTGCCATCAACACTCTTGAAAAATTGCTTAACATTTTATTTAGCGAAGTATACTGTTGATATTTCGGCTTTACAACACTATTGTTTTCCGCAACTATAACTGATATGTCTCTATATGAAGTACTAAATTTGTTTCCCCGCTGGCCACTCGTATTTCGGTCTTTTCTTCATCCCCTACTCATCGCCCGTGATCTAGTAACTCCCGAAGAGTTCTTTGATATGTTTTCAGATCTTATAATTTTAGTTTTTGAGTCAACGTCTCTACTGGGAACAAGACCCATAGGAAAAAAAATTTTTTTGGACTTTTGGAAGTCGTTTGGCAGCGTATATTCACACTTTTATGACTTCAAATAGCCTTCAATAAGAAGGTCGGCTTTCGAAGAGACCGAACAGACGTGGGCAATTGATAAAACAACCCTTGTTATGGCTGCAGGAGAAGCTTTAGCTGACAAACATAAGCCATTTTAAGACACTTAGGGCACCAAAAAGGTTTAAAGTTTCTTCGACTGGGACAGATCGTAGCGAAATTGTAAGAGTTTGAGAACGGAGATGAGTGATCTGGACACTCTTCTCATACATTTCAGACGAGGGCATTTTTAGTACATGCTTCCAGAAAATTACTGTGTCTGATTTTCAAAATTTTCCCACAGAAAGCCTTATGCAGCCGCCATATTTAAACTCCGTAATTTGTCTTCTATGCGCATGCTTAGCCGCCATGATGTCTTCGATTTCTAGCCATGCTTTAACGTCTTAGACAACTTAAACGTCTCTAGCATAAAAACGGCCATGTGCTGTCCAAGAACTTAATGGGAGAACTGTGACGGAAATATAAGAAGTCAAAGCAAGGTCTATTCGGACTATTTCGACATTCTTACTTTGTCAAATGACTTTTCGGTGGTGGAACCATTCAATGATCTTAAGTGACAAAGCGAATATTACAGTAAATGGTTTGAACCTGGGGGTAACGTGTAATATAGTAGTTTGATCGTCCGGGTTAGTGTAGTCCTGAGAAGGACTGTTGTCGGTAGTGGTGACTGACGTTTCGACAACCTCAGTGGAAGTCATCACACAGACGACAAACTACTCTATTACAAAGCGAATATCAGCAAACTTTGAACTCGTCAAGCACCCTTTGGTATAAAAAAATTAAATAAAGAAACGCAAGAAAACTAGATAAAACCTCTCTTTGCCTGGAAAATATCGCATACTTAGATACTTAATCACAAGTAGTTGGTTATGCTTCAAAGAGGTCAGTGGGAAGAATAATTCGATTGGATTGATTGTAAATCGATTAATTTTTCATGATTATTATACTTGTTATTGTGATTTGATGTACGCCTAAGTTAAGCGATATCTTCACATAGTAGCACCTAAAAAACAAGGGAGAATAAGCGAGAGTTTGGAAATTTGCCATCCTGTCCCCATTATTGACAACTTGGCAGTTTGATTATCGAGAAAAGCTCCGCACTGAAGAATAAACGCTGCCGCTTTTGATTGCTATTTGCTAAATTCGTTTCAATTCAAATTCAAATTTATCTCAATAATAAGCCCACACATGTGAACTCTTGTGATCTCAAGTTACGTTTATAGTGGATTATAACCCACCCAATAATTTTGGCACAATTCTATTGGCGCCTTTTCGTCAAGGAGTGCTCGCTAAATCACCGGACAGGTATTAAGACAATAACCCCTTTGTATGTCGATATTTTTGACCTTCCACAGGATTTCAGGGAATAAGGTGAACGCACGCACACGCTTGCACGCTAAAACAAAACAACTAGCTTTTAACACGTTAGCTGCGTGTTAGTTACTTGCCTCCTTAACTTCGCAGCCATTGTCTTGCTTCGAACGGTAGAAACAAAGGAACGTGTTAAGATCTTGCTTGCAACTTTGCACGATATAACATGATGACCGAGCCAATTTTAGAACACGCCTCTTACAGTTAAAAGTTCCTTTCGATTTATATAAGAAGTGCGTCCTGAGCTGTAAGGCTCTTTTAGCTCACCGATACGCCCGGCGGATACGATACTCAATATCCAGTGCAACTTCAGTTACTAACTTCGGTCGCTAGATCGCCAAACATAAAGGAAAATATCTCGACTTTTTGTCCATCATTTCAAACTGTGTTTGAGTTTTTTTCTTCATTTTTTACTTCCTCATTCTCTTAAAACAGCTTGCAAAACACGGACCGAACGAGCAAAGTCCTCTGCTCTTGAAATCGTACATGAACTTTTGAAGGTAGCAAGCACAAGCTTTTTAGAATAATAAGAGTTAACTAGTATGATGCAAAGAAATTGTAGACTTCGTTGAGGGTAAACTGTGTTTTCACCGTGTTTGTCTGTTCTGCTAGTCTCCGAGGCATTATTTATTTATATTGTTAAATTTGTAAACCGACAGGTACGACAGTCCGTGTGGTGGAGTGGCAGCGTTTTCGCTCTTTAAATCGGCAGTGCAGGGTCCGTAAGATGCCAAGATCTGTGTACAGTAAATAATGCGTGGCTTCGCTCGGAAGACTTCGTTTTGCGCCGGCTAACTAGCGGTTATTTAATTTTAAAATGCCGATTTGCACACAGTGACGAACAGCGACCGCGTCGATCAGTAGACATGGAGCCGGAAATTTGTTGTTAGAGGATTCACAAAGATTCTGCACTGGGCTTATCAACTACGTGAGGCGATAAGGATTTGTATTTTACAAGGTAAGAATTAAGTTTTAAAAAAGTAATTCAGGTGTTCAAACTGAGCTCCTATGGACCTTGTGAAACACGTCGTGCTCAATGAATTCCTTGTGAAAATCCTGAGGGAAAGAGCCATGATTTACAGTGAACAAAGTTAGCTGGGTTGTACAAGATCAGCTATCGTGTTAAGGAAACAAAGGAACTTAGCGTCTTAAAAAAAAGAAAGAAAAAAATCTAGCGTGACATAAAAAAAAAAGCTCTACCGTGTTAGTTATGATATGAACAATGGCTACCAAAACTAAATAAGTGTGTCATGTCATTAGCGTGCGAGCAAGTTATAACGTGCAGTATGAGCGCGTTCACCTTATTCCCTGAAACACCGTGGAGGGTTACATTTGTCCTCCGATTATTTCCGTGGAAAGAAACAAAGGCAGCTGAAAAAATGCTAGCCCAAGAGTTTTACTTTTCCTTTTTTATTACTTTACATGAAAGAAAAACGAAATCTCTTTTAAGTGATAGTGATGGTGATGGTGATGGTGATGGTGATGGTGATGGTGATGGTGATGGTGATGGTGATGGTGATGGTGATGGTGATGGTGATGGTGATGGTGATGGTGATGGTGATGGTGATGGTGATGGTGATGGTGATGGTGATGGTGATGGTGATGGTGATGGTGATGGTGATGGTGATGGTGATGGTGATGGTGATGGTGATGGTGATGGTGATGGTGATGGTGATGGTGATGGTGATGATGATGGTGATGGTGATGGTGATGATGATGGTGATGGTGATGGTGATGGTGATGGTGATGGTGATGGTGATGGTGATGGTGATGGTGATGGTGATGGTGATGATGATGGTGATGGTGATGGTGATGGTGATGGTGATGGTGATGGTGATGGTGATGGTGATGGTGATGGTGATGGTGATGGTGATGGTGATGGTGATGGTGATGGTGATGGTGATGGTGATGGTGATGGTGATGGTGATGGTGATGGTGATGGTGATGGTGATGGTGATGGTGATGGTGATGGTGATGGTGATGGTGATGGTGATGGTGATGGTGATGGTGATGGTGATGGTGATGGTGATGGTGATGGTGATGGTGATGGTGATGGTGATGGTGATGGTGATGGTGATGGTGATGGTGATGGTGATGGTGATGGTGATGGTGATGGTGATGGTGATGGTGATGGTGATGGTGATGGTGATGGTGATGGTGATGGTGATGGTGATGGTGATGGTGATGGTGATGGTGATGGTGATGGTGATGGTGATGGTGATGGTGATGGTGATGGTGATGGTGATGGTGATGGTGATGGTGATGGTGATGGTGATGGTGATGGTGATGGTGATGGTGATGGTGATGGTGATGGTGATGGTGATGGTGATGGTGATGGTGATGGTGATGGTGATGATGATGGTGATGGTGATGGTGATGGTGATGGTGATGGTGATGGTGATGGTGATGGTGATGGTGATGGTGATGGTGATGGTGATGGTGATGGTGATGGTGATGGTGATGGTGATGGTGATGGTGATGGTGATGGTGATGATGATGGTGATGGTGATGATGATGATGATGATGATGGTGATGGTGATGGTGATGGTGATGGTGATGGTGATGATGATGGTGATGGTGATGGTGATGGTGATGGTGATGGTGGTGGTGGTGGTGATAGTCAAATTAAAAAGCTGGTGTCAAATAATGCGCCGAAAAGTACAAAAGAGTAAAAAAAAATTGCTCTCAAAGGGTAATACGAAAATTACTGGAAGGGTCATAAAAAAATGAAGCCCATCAGGCGGCTGGCATGTCCATTGATAATTTCCTTTCCTTTCCCTTAAAGTTTCGCTTCTCGGCCAAATATTCATTTCTTGGACAATAAAAACCAAATACGATACTCAGTACAACTTAATGTAATTTACTACGGTTAAAATAATTGGATTAAGGCCATTTTTAACCCTGGTCACTCTCATTTGCACAACCGAGCTATTGGATGAACAGTTTTTTAACTTTAAGCCCTTAAAAAGTTGGGGTCACGACGCGTTTTCTAAGTATTTTAGATTTTTAAATTAGTCATCTCATCTCGTTCTAGCACACCTATCACCTCCAATGATACTAAAACACTATTCTTTCATTTTCTGAAGTGTTTCATGGCAACATATCGTCCACTACGTTTTCCTTTTTTCGGTTTTGAAGCGAAAAAAGTCATGATTGAGCCAATTTGACTCGTAACATGTAAGGATAAGTAGCCCTTCCATAGGCACACGGACTGTTGTAAATGTAGGAAATGTTGGTCTCTTGCGTGGTCATTGAGAGAGCCGACTTGTTTTACTCACACGCAAGCACACGTGACCATGGCGTGATGCACAACATAATCCGCAGTGGCAATAGCGGGCACGGCTCCCTTGTGATAGTTACCTTGCAAAGTGAAGTCAACTTATTTGAATAAAGGGGGTAAGTAAGAAACTGTATTACAGGCAATAACAGCATCATCCGACGAGCCTAAGATCTGGAAACGCTGCGTGGACGATACCTTTACCATCCTGGATCACGAAAACGTGGATGACTTCTTATAGCATCTTAACAACCAGCAGCCTTCCATCCGCTTCACCATGGAGACAGAGAAAGACAAAAAATTCGCCTTCCTAGAAACCGCAGTTTCAAGAGAACCTAACGGCCGCCTCACCATCAGCGTATACAGGAAGCCCACACACACACACCGATCAATACCTAGCGTATGATCCACACCACCCTCAATCAGTAAAACGCGGTATTGTTAAGTCCCTTTACGAGCGCGCCAAACGTCTCGTAACAAAACCCTCTGTTATCTCCAAGGACAAAAAGCATCTGTCTTCTGTTCTAGGTTATCCTTTTTCTTTCTTGCAGAAAATTACCATGACCGGAAAACCAAACAGCAGTGCCGAACCCGCCAACGAGTTCAAAGGTACTGCGGTTTTACCTCATGTCAAAGGTCTGTCCGAACAGCTTCGCCGTTGCCTACAACAACAAGGCGTACGCGTTATTTTCAAGTCGGAGACTATGCTAAGATCTCAGCTAATACGACCAAAAGACGCTGTCGACCCGGCTAAACAGGATGGCGTAGTTTACAGGATTCCCTATGAATGCGGCGAGGTTTCCATCGGAGACACTGGAAGACCTATGCAAGACAGAATTAAGGAGCACGATCGAGACATCCGACTCGCCCGTGCCGAGACCTACGCCGTTTAAGAGCATGCCCACAACACCGGACACAAGCTACTCTGGAACGAAGTAAAGTTTATTGATCGTGATCCTTATTGCTACAAGCGTAAGGTCAAAGAGGCAATTCATATAAGACTTCACCCTGACAACATCAACAGGGCTAGTGGAATAGAAATTCCAGAAGCGTGGATGCCCACGATAAAAAACACAACAACAGGAGAATAAAGGGGGTAAGTTTCTAAAGGAACTGTGGTACTACGTGGGTGGGAGAGTATAGCAGGTAATTTAGTGTTAACAACTGAGTTGAAAACGTAAATTAGCCACCGTCAAGGATGAAAAAAGCTGACGTTTCGAGCGTTAGCCCTTCGTCAGAACCATTGGAGGAATTATGGGTTGTGTGTAGGTGAACCGTGCGACAGCGGACCCCCGAGGGAGCAAATCTCTGAGTGTAACAGCAAGGATCGAAATGCACCAATCAGAGCTATTGAAAAACAACTAATCACAGCAGAGCATCATGCTTTATAAAATCACGCATGACCAGTCGACCTCATCGCTTGAAGACTAGCAGTATGCAGTCGAAACGCGGCGTTCTACATCACACGTGACTACATTGTGAGACAAACGAAAAACTTAGCTTTTATTGTTATTCACCACGATGAATAACCACAACCTTATCTGAGTTAATTGATAGGATAGTTGTGTAGGGAATTTTTTTCTGTCGGAAAAATCTTATAGATATCCTATGGTTTGAACCCGAGAGTAACATCTTGGGAGCTATTAAAATTTAATCAGGTGGTAAATTCTATTTACTGATACGCAGAGATCAGTTACAAGTCAACCAACTGTCGATAGGAAGGTGTAAATGAAGATGCATCTTTTCCTCTTTGTCATCTTTGTTCTGGTGACTCACTGTGCCCAAGGTAAGCGATGCCTACAATATATTGTAAGTGATACGCAAAGGTGAATAATTGAGATTTAGAATACTTCTCCCTTTCCAATTCGACTCAAAGACATAGTTCTTCTTTTTATTTGTACCTAACAATAAATCTACTGAGAAAAAAGGCTAGGGCGCTATGAGTGAGACAAACTGAGGAACTGAAATAAAATAGGTTTCAATAGAAATTTAAAATATTTCTCGCACAAGCGATACCTTTTGTAGTGAAAACTGGATAACGAAAGGAAGCAATTTTTAATTTTCGTCGCTGCCAGTAATCCCCCACACTTTGCTACCCTTACCAACTATGTAATGCTAATATTAGACATATCGTCAATCTTGAGTTCCAAAACTTGTTTTTCATCTACAACTGAATTGTAAAATTGCGTAATAGAACAGATAAAATATCATATAAGTTTCTAGTCAGTTTTGGTGACCGTATTACCTCCTATAGAGGATGTATGAAGTAAGAGTCGTTCAGATATTTAGCGTGGGTGTCCACACTGATTCTACGACATACTGGTTATCCTTTGTTTAAAAATACACTACCCGCTGTAAAAATAAAAAAAACTTATTGAAGCACAGAATTGATAGCCACGATAGCACAATAATTGATTTATGGAAGAGTGTGTAAAATCAAGAAAGGATAAGAAGAAATGTGACCTTCCCGGATCACGCAATATTTAGATGTAATTGTCTATAAAAAAAAAAAAAAAAAAAAAAGAAATTTTGCAGCATAGCCAAGCTATACTTTACACTTTTCGTATTGCAATATTTTAATCTAACCCTGAAAAAGAAATTTTTTTTATTTAAGTAACTGTTTCTCACACGGATTTTGAATAAGCTGAGATATGTCAATATTAAGAATTAATCTGTTCGCGAGTGCGCTGTGGAGACAGCATAGCCAACGAGGAGTTTCCTTATCTTCAGGTTCCACACAGAAGCGATAATATTTCATGGACATTAAACTTAGCCTTGTATAATTTATTAAGGGAGTGATCTGCTAAATAATACTTTGCCTCGCGAAGATAAATGACTTCTACATTGTCGGTTACTGTTTAATTGATGTTTTTGTTAAATTACTATGTCTTTACTTTTGAATAGGAACAATAGAGAAATGCGACCGAAAAATTGACCTGGCGGTCGTTTTGGACGTTTCAGGGAGTATAAATGATGAAAACATAAGCCTTGCAAAGAAATTCGCCAAAACACTTCTAAGACGATTCAGAATCTCCAGAGACAACGTTCGTGTATCATTTGTGGCGTACTCGGAGTCGGTGAAGATATATTCCACGTTCGAGGACGACCAGGAGGAAGAAGGGCTTGAGCAAAAAGTGAACAATATGTTCTTTGAAGGATCTTCCACAAAAACAAGGAAGGCTCTGAGTGTATTAAACAATCAACTGTTTGTTCAAAAGCATGGCTCAAGAATCGAGGAGTCTGGTAAGTCACCCATAATAAAATGTTTTACTCGTCTTTCCGTAGGACACGACGATGCCGTTTTGTTTTTATTTCAAATAAATTCAGGGTTAGTTTATTTCGTCGTTAAGATCAATAGTTGCTCTTTGTCTTTGTTTTAAAATTCATTGGTTTTAAAATTCTCGTTGGCCAATTTTAAAAGGAATTGGTTAATGTTGCTTTCATCGTCGACGAGATAAGACTAAACGTAAAAGCGCCTTTTTGTGTAGAGAAAAATCACATAAAAGGTTTATTCGGGAAACTCGCAAAAGAGAACATCCCCGCTCCTGGCACGACTAGAATATACCTTCAGCTTTTCGGCATGCTTTTAAATAATTTGATTATTCCCTTGACATGCAAATCATTGCCTTCTCAATAAATAACTATAATGGTTACTGAAATGATTCCATGACTCAGTAAAGGGTGCATACGACCACTAATGCAGGTGAAAATTACAGTAACTGAGGGGAAATATGTCAAGACTTTGAAAACTGTCAGCTTTATACGGCGCCACTTAATACAGGTTCGACTATATTATCATTTTTACTCTAAAACTTACATTAAGTGACAAAAATTGCCGCTACAACTAAGGTACTTTTAAAAGGTTCTGCGTTTTTTTCATGATTTCACGTTTCCTTGGGTAAAGATTTGGAAAGATACGCGAATAAATATTATATCCTCTCTTGAGCCATGGCTGAAATCCATATTGGTGACAAAATATGCTTTTTACCTATCCATGGTACTATTCAAATTCCTAAAAGCTTACATCAAATTCAGTGGTTCTGGTTTCACTTGGTTTCACTAGGAAAACTCGCTAGGAATAAAAACTTTATTTTAGCTGTGCTTTTATTCTTGTTTTATTTTTTATAGATGTAAGGAAAGTTGCTGTTATTCTCACAGATGGATTCAGTTTC